ATTAGTCAATAAGAGTATGTTAGATTAAAGTGAGAGAAACCACTTGTTTTTTCATTGGTTTGGTTATATTGTAGCATAATACGTAAAAAAATTTTCCTTCATATGATTATTGGTTAAGAAAAGAGTAATACTACACTAACAAACGTTTTTTACTAATTTTTTCTTACAAATACAATGTGATAGTTCGTAATTAATAAACACGTAATGAGTCTTACCTGATTAATTATGAGTTGACTAATTACGTTTGTGAAAGAAAGTTTGTCTGTAAATCTTTATACCTAAGAAAATCAACAAAAACGTGGCTCAAGCATGTCAAAGGTTCAGACTTATTGGCATTGTTGACGAGATTTATCAAAAGGAATAAAGAAAGTTTGTCCGTAAATCTTTATACCTAAGGAAATCAACAAAAACGTGGCTCAAGCATATCAAAGGTTCAGACTTATTGGCATTGTTGACGAGATTTATCAAAAGGATTGTTTGAACTTTAAAACGTTAATAAATTTGAGAAAATTTTAAAATATAAAGAGGATGTCCGGGGGATTTAATGCAATTCTTAGCTTGTACCATCAGGTATGAATGAAGTGCACCCATGCAAACATTTAATTAGTTACGATTTTAGTTGAAAATTTAATAGCTCTGCCAACTACGAGTCTACAATATCAGCTGGAGATTTAATAAAAAATTATTAAAATTTAAAGAATATTTAACACCCTGTCTGTATTTTAAACAGTGTGTAGTCACATCTCAATTTGGAAATTCTACAATGAACTGACCAGCCGCCTACTTCTTCGGAAACTTTCCAATAACATAAGTTTATAACTGTTTATCTCTATTTTTTTTTTTTTTAAGAGAATTTCCTTGAAACGGAAAAAATTACAAATTTCAAAAAGCGCAAAGTGGGAAAGATTAGGACTAATTTAAGATTATAATAACTATGAGATAATGACTTTTGTTTCCACTTTAAAAAAATAATCAATTTCCAAATTTATGTTGTACTTGTAACAACAACAAAGGACTACACTAAGGTATTTTAATAATAATTAAAAAATATGTAAGTAATATTAAATAAAATAATTTAGTAATATATAAAAGAAAATTAACAAAAACTAAAATTGTCATCATCGTTGGTTGAGACTGTCACCGGTTCATAGTCATTAGAGGTGCGTCCTATGACACTGTTAGCATAAAATTGATTGACACAAACTGATCTATCATCTATTTGATGTTGGTGAAAGCACGAGATAAAACCTTAGCGTTTCATCGTAAGATGCCGTCGAATAGAGCTGGGCATTTGGGACCGGGCCCAAAAGCCCAGCTCTAAAAACTGGTCCTTGGGAGGACCGGTCCTAGGAGTTTTGGGACCAGGCCTAAGGAGGAGGGCCCGGGCACTCCTCTAAGGCCCGATCCTGGGCCTGGTCCCAGGCCTGGGCCCAAACTTTTTTTATCTTTTATTAATTTAGTCTTTTGTAAAATTACATTAAATCCCCTAAAATAAGTATAAATTTAAGGACTAAAAAAAATTTTACAAAATTTATTAAAAAAAAAAAATTAACCGTTGGCAGCCAACGGTTATAAATTTTTTATTTATAACCGTTGGCAGCCAACGGTAACTGACACCAACAGTTACATTTATATAATATAAGTTTTTTTTTTTCATTTTCTCTCCCACAACTACACTATAAATAACCCTAAAACCTTTAATTTTTTTCACACCAATCAATCTCTCATTCTTTCATTCTCTCAATCTCTCTACTCCAAATCTCCAATCAATTTCTCATTCAAGTTATATTTATAATATTTAGTTTTAAAATATAATTATTCAATTTTTTTCTATTTTTCATATCATCATAATTTCATATTATTATTTAATTTCTTTTCATTTTATTATTATTATTTTATCATAAATTTATAATGTCTTCCCCAAATGAGTTTTACGGTCCATCCACCGAAGAAATTGAAGCCTTCAATCCATTTTCACCATTTCCTCCAGAGGATGCAGCTGTAATTCCACAACCACATTCGGCCGGATGTGGTGTAGCCAAACACATGTGGCTGCGAGTCAACGGGCACGGACATAGCCCAACCCCCCCGACGTCAAAGAGGGTCGTGTCGATGTCTGGCAATCTTCACCAAATCAAAACGGCCAAAGACAAATGGGGAGGGGGAAGAATCGGTGGGATATGTAATTTAAGTGGAACCATTATTGGGGCTGAGAAGGGGACTTCGACAATGCGACGACACGTAGAGAAGAAGCATCCCCAAAAAAATGCATCTTCAAGCGGATAGGTAGCAAATTCAAATCAACTATTTTTAATCACAATCCTCACTCTCTCAACATGGCAATACAATACACATGTTTGCACGGAGGAAATAGCAAGATATATAGTTGCTACGGACTCTCCCATTTGTTTATCTGAAAATTTTTTTGTTAATATGGTAAAACTGCAATTTGTCAGCATAACCCCTGTTAGTAGAACTACAAGTAGAAGAGATATCTAAAACTTTATAACAAAATAAATATAAACTTAAAAACGAATTTCAAAATTTTAGGAATATACTATTGCACTTACATCAGACATATGGGCTTGTAGATCAAAAACCGATTTTTTAATGTTACAGTACATTTCTTAGATCATAATTGGGGTTTACAACAAAAATTGATAGGTTTTAAACCATTATATGAAAAACATAGTGCTGAACTATTATTTTACGATTCTTGAAGTTTTGCAAGAATATTTATTATTGATAGAGTTGTAGCGCTAACGCTTGATAATGCAGTGCTAACACCGCGACAATATCTTTATTTGAAAAGAAATTGGATCCGCTTGGTGAAGGCAATTTTATACACCAGAGATGTGTTGTCACATCATCAATTTGATAGTTAAAGCAGGTTTAGATGTTATACATTCAAAGATTGAGAGGGTGCGTAGAGCTATCGGATTTATCGTCGGCGGTAGCAATAAAAGATGGCAGGAGTACGTCAAATATTGTAAGCAAAAGGACCCACGGTTCGACCTTTGAAGTTATGTACAGACATGCTATCATTGGAACTCTACCTACCTGATGTTGGAAAAAGCTTTGCCAACGTGAAACAAATTACAGATTGTCAACCGAAAGAACTATCCAGAGGAAGTTGTCAACTATGATGATTGGGCGGTTTGTGAACTTTTTTTCATTTCTTAAAATGTTTTATGATGCTACTAATACATTAAGTGGTATTATTATCCAACTACTATTAGTGTTAGATATTTTAGTTCAAATTGCTAAAACTTTTTATCAATAAGACATGATAACATTTTTAGTGAAATTGTTTCAAGTATGGAAGAAAAATATAAGAGATATTGGTTAGATATTCCATCTATATGGATTAGGCCTTTTTCTAGATCCTAGGTTTAAATAATCCGTAGTTAACGGTGTAATTACTGAGTTAGGCCATTATTTAGGACATGATTATACGTCTTATTTGACTGACTTTAAACACAAATTGGATAGGCTTTTTCTTTATATGAGAAACGATACAAGGAAGTAGAAGTGGAAGTGGAAGTGGAACGTCTAGGAGAGGCGATCAGGACCTTGATGTAGCCCCCCCAAGGATCGAGCAAGTAGGCGTATGTGGGACGTGGCGGAAGCTCCAGCTCGTACATACATAGACCAAATGAGATGACTTGCTACCTACAAGTGGACTTGACCTTTATGACAATGAAGGAGCAACTTGACATGGATATTCTTCAATGCTGGAACCAACAAGAAAGTCAATTCCCATTATATCCAAATGGCACGTGACATTTTATCTGTGCCGGTTTCTACAATTGCATTCGAGTCAACATTTTCAACGAGTGGTCGGATTGTTGAAGACAGAAGATGTTCTTTAACCGATGAGATGATTGAGTGATAACGTGTTTACGGGATGGACTCAGCAGAAAGAAGACTACAACAGCACCCTGAAGATCCCGAACTACTCGAACTCTTTAGGAGTACAGATTTGAATAATAACTAGTGTTGACGATGAAATTGAAGATGAATAATTTAATAAAAAAAATTATTTAATTGTTTATTTGTGAAGCTTGAAGTGTGAAATGTGAATATTATATTTATGTTAAAAATTAAAATTAACTATTAATTTATATTTTTAAAATTAATTAAATTTTTAGAAACTTACTAATCAACCCCTAAAAAAAAAACTAAAAACCCCCTATAAATTTTGTTTGCCCCCAAAAATAAAAAAAAATTGAGGGGGGAAAATAAAATTTTCCAAACCCCATGGGACCGGTCCTAGGACCGGTCCTGGGCCATGGGACCAGTCCTGACCAGGCCTAAGGCCTGGTCCGGGTCCTGATTTTTCTCATGGCTTGGGACATGAGAGACTGGTACCATTTGGGACCAGTCCCAAACGGGCCCAGGCCTGGGCCCGCAAGGGACCGGTCCCTTGCCCAGGTATAGTTTGGCTTTGGCCATCGGCGACAATAATACCAATTTTTTTATTTTATAAAAATGGTTTTAAAATTAATTATTGTACTTAAGATTAACATAAGCAAACATAATAATTTTTATTCTTATATAAGGGTATAATTGGCATTGTCTTGTTGAAAATCAACTCTTTGATTCTAAAATAATTAGCTTGGATTATAATTCGGTTCCAAAATCAATTCCAAATATTTTTCATATCATAGCTAAAGATAAAGTGATTATTTTGTAATCTACAACAATCCAAACACACTCACAAACTTTGTATAAATTACGGTAAAGATTATAAAATTAGTCTCCCTTATTAATTTTTATTACTTTCAGTGAATAAATGTAGCCAAGTGAGAATACCCTACGTGTGATGAATATTACCACACATCCCCTCTCACCGTCTCTCTCTCCTCAGTATCTCCACCTTATCATCCATCTCTTCCTCCATGACTCTCTTTCTCTTCCACACAATTCCACCACTACCACTACTCCTACATTCTCCACTCTCTCATGCTCATTCAAACCCCACAGAAACCCCCTAATAATCACCAAAACGCTCTCCAAGAGACACAGTCATCGACTTCGGCAAGTACAAAGGCAAAATGCTTGGCACCATCCCTTCAATCTACCTCAAATGGGTCTCCAAGAACCTCCGCGCCAGAGACTTCGAGCACTGGGCAAAACTCGCCGACACGTGCTCAAAGATCCCGTTATAAAGATGACTAGAATGGGAGTTTGCAGAAAGCGTCTTGATTGGAAATAACGTAAATAATGTCAAATTGTCAGGCAATGATAAGAATACTGGTGCAGTTTCTCAGTTGTTAGGTTGAGTGAAAGGTTTGGCTGGGATAATGAAAATAAGGCTGCTTGGAGTCAGGTTAATTTTGAGCTTTGGGGACGAGTAAAGGCGGAAGAATACCAAGAATTTTGGACGATGAAAGTGAAAAAGATGAGGAGAAAGAGTTGTTTAAAGTGAAGAAGAAAGAGAGATGAGTTGGGATGTTGACAGAGAGTGAAGAAAGGAGAAGGAAGAGAGGTCGAGAATGGAGCGAAAGAGAAGACGGAGATTAGAAATGGTGATAAGATTGACGGTGAGAGTGAGAGGGATGATGATAAAGATTTGAGGGTGGAGATTACCAATCCATTTCCGGACGTGAAGCACTGTTGAAGAAAGTGCTTAATCGGAAGAAATTTATGTAAATATGTAACAGTGATTTGTGATTTTCTAACTAAATGTGTCAATTTGAGGATGAAATTTTTGGAGTTGATATTGTTAAGAATGACTTTAAATGAAATTGTTACTTTACATAAGGTTGGCTTAAATATATTTAACTTTATTATTATTATTATTATTATTATTATTATTATTCTAGACAGATAATTAAGAGCCGTTTGAACTGCATTTATCAAATTTAAAATCCTGAAATATGCTACGTTAATGTAATGTTATTATATAATAGAAATAAACCTTATAAGTGCACATAAAACCGATAAATACATTCTAGATTATAATATCAATTAATTAATTAAAAACCTGTACTGTGTGCTAAACATATGAAATATGAGTCATAAGTAACAGAGAAAAACAAATAAACATAAGAATACTTAATAACTTAGTAATTAAAACAAAATAGAAAAGCATGTATTAATTATACTCTAAAGACAAAAGACGTCTTTATCTTTAAAAAGAAATAAAATCAGTAAGAATTAATTAACCCAACTTATTAAAATAATAAAAAAAATAACATTCAAAAACCATTTTGTGTGAACTGGATTTATAATGCAGTATTTTTAATCAAGTTGAAATGCGGTTTTGTTTTTTATTTGACTACATGGTTTAAATTACTAAAATAAGTGATAGATTTTTAAAATTTGTAAAAGGGAGTTAGAGAACAGATCCTTAGATTTTACCTGATTTTGACTGACCCAACCGATGATTGAAATAAGCTACAGCAATCAGAGTATAGGGTTTCTGGTAGGGGTGTTCGGTTCTGGGTATCCTACACTTTTTGAAGGAACCAGAACCAAAACCGACGGTTCCTTGAAATTTGTAACCAGAACCGGAGCCGACGGTTCCGGTTCCTAGGTACCCAGAACCAGAACTAGTAACAACGGTTTCGGTTCCGGTTCTGGGTATCCTGTAAAATTACATGACTCCCAAAAGTTTTTAAAATGGCAAAAAAACCCTTAAAAACTTACAAATACCCCTCCACCTGGCACTTGTTAACAAAAATAAAATTACAAATTATAAATTCAAAATTACAAACTCCATTACTTTGTAAAGGTAGATTCTCAAAAGTCAAACCAACTTACTTTAAATTTTATGAAATATAAATATAAATGTATTCACATTACTTTTTCTACAAAAGTTTATATTAACCCCCCTGATCTTTAATTTTATTTTATATTAGTCTCGGTTCCTGGTTCCCGAAACCGGAACTGAAACCGCACAATAACGGTTCCAAAAATTTAGAACTGGAACCTATCCATTGACGACTGGTTCTAGGTAAGAACCGGAACCAAACTCAGGGTACTCACCGGTTCCGGTTCCAGTCGGTTCTTTTGAACACCCCTAGTTTCTGGTAGAGTGTATAAGTTGAGTGTTAACCCCAAGGAGAAGAGGAAATTACATATGCATGCACTACTCTATAATACTAATACTTCCTCATTCTGCATGTGACAAATCCCACATCCCATGCATATGAATATGCAGAATCAGTAAAATTTGTATTCATCAAATCCAAATACACAACGACACTTGTCTGAAACCTAACTGAGTTTCTCCATTTTATGAATATTTTGAAACCTTTATCTCAAGAGCTCAAAACTTTTACAGGAAATTCAGCCGCCTAGTTATACAATTGACTAATTATTTAACACTAACGTAGAGGCAAGAAAGAACCAAGCGGAATTAATTTTTATTCACAAGATCAAGCATAAAGAACCTAGAGGTTTGTAATCATCTAATCATCCACTAGAAATTTAATAAAGAGTAAGCATAAAGAAATTCTCAACCACCCTCATCCAGATATCCAATATAACCAAATGGTAAATCCATATAAAATCCAATAACCACAATCAAAGCAAATAATTCAAGATACAGTAACAACAATAAACAAAAATGTGATTTTCCCATGAAATCACATCAGCACATGCACAACAGCCAGTGGCAGACCTAGGATTTTTGTCCAAGGTGACCTTTGCGGCTCTGCCATTGTTTGTCAAACAACTAATGAAAACTTAAAAAAAATCACTAAACTTCAAGCAAAAAAATAATAATACAATATCAAGACTTGAAAAAAAAAAGAATATAATAACACATTACTTTCCTACTTGAATAAATTTATGAGAAGTAAAATTTCAAGTAAACCTTGAGCAAAACCTTCTTTTAATTTTTGGCTTTAAAAGATTATGATATAAATTTTCATAATTTTGATTAGACCTAACCTAAGCTAAGGGCAACTAAAACTTAAATTATGTCAATATTATGTTGACTTTTAATATGAATTAGTTAAAAAAGGGGGGATTTTTCTTGATATGAACATAGATAATAACTCAAATTTCTTTAATAATTTTGAGCAGTTGAACGGTAACGTTTGAAATGTAGGAAATTGGTGGGTGAAGGGTAAAGAATAATATCTTTTAAAATATAGTTATGATTTTAATTTGGGAAAGTAGGAACATTCTTGGACATAAAATACAAAATAAACTCACAAGATCCATATCTTTTTCCCTCAAATTATAATAAAAACCCTCAAAAAAAAAAAAAAAAACCCATGATTCAACCTTAAAATAAACTAAATTGAAATGAGCAATACATATATCTAAAACCGACCCAGGCCCCTTGAAGGTAGGCACAGACTTGTTCTCAACTTTAAAAAAAAATTGCAAAGTTTTTTTTAAAAGGTTAAAAAAAAAGTTAAAAGTTTAAAAAATTAAAAAGTTATATTTTGTCTGTTTCATCTTTTTGTTCTCCAATTCCTATCTTCCCTTTTACATGACGGCCGAGGCTCAAACATTTGAACCAAAAATTAAAAAAATCCCCCTCTCAACTTCTCTCACTCACATCTCCTGAAGGTTAGCCTACTAAAATATTGAAGTTTTAAGTTTAAATAAGCTCCTTAGATGGTTAAATCCATAATTTAACATGTATATTTATATTGTTGCAGCCTTGCATGAACAGCGAAGAAGATGAAGAATTGGCTGCTGCTGCTAATCATTTTGGGTGCTTCAAGCTATAAAATTGCGGAGAAAAGGCAAGGGAATAAGTATGTAAGATTGATGTTAAAATTGTTAGTGTATGCCCTAGGAACCAATCGTGTTGTCAGTTTCAGGACATTATATCTTGTAAATGTATTATGAATAAAAGCAAGTGTTCTTATTTCACATGTTGATTTTCTGCTTCATTTATATTATATTATATTTAATATTGCATGTGAAATGTCCAGATGAACGGATCTTCAGAAAATCAAATCATCAAAGAATTCTCTACCCAAGTAATGTTAATTGGGCAATAACATTGCATAGTAGGCATGTTGAATGTCTCCATTGAATATCATGTGATGGTATTAGTGTGGGTGATTATAAGAGGTATGTCACTAAGGCATTAGCATGGACAAACGGTTAGTGAATTGTTTATCGAATACGATCGATTACGATGAATCACATGGATATGGTCAATGATGCATCGTAGGATTGTGCTAGTGTACCACTGATTCTTAGACCTGAGACATCACAATTGGATTCAACATAGGATGCATATGGTTCATATGATGTATAAGCACGAGACTAGTCATGTCTTGTGTAATAAACCGGTTTGGTCATATGTTATCCATATGCGAGGACAAATGATGGTCAAGATGGGATCTGTTAACTCAAAATAGTCTAATCTCAAGTTCCCAGATGAATGTCAATAAACATTGGAAAAGGGAAATCTCTGGCCAGAGTATAATGAATGTCAAATGAAAAGTAGTTTCATGTTGATGAGTTCCATTGTATCGATTAACAATTCGATTAAAGATTAAGTTAACGGTTTTGACATACCATGAACCATTCCTAATCGGGATTAGATAACAGAGGGATTTGACTACACGGTACGTACGATTAGAATAGGTTCATTGGAGTTTACACTTCATTGTGGTTTAGGGGTTATGGAACATTGCTAGACGTCTATCATAATCAGTGGGAGTTTCGATTATAAAGAATTATAACGAAACATATCAAAATCAGATATTGGGCCCATGGCTAGATCACAGTAAACTAAAATGGTTACACATAAAACCAAGCTTAAGGAGAGAGAGTAATACATATCATTAATCAGATTAATGATGTTTAGACGTAAACGGTTGCATCCGAATTAATGTATTGGTGAGAAATGATTATCCATGAATAGCTAGCACTAACCAAGGGTAATAAGAATTTATTAAATATTATTATTGAATTGGATTCAATGATGGGGGCAAAAGTGCATTGGTTTTATTCTAAAGGGTTAGAATATTTAATGGAATTAAAATTTGGTCTAATTATGAATTAACCATAAAACCAAGGACTTGACATAAATGTTTATTCTCAATTAATTTTAAATTGTTTGAGGCCTTCCCAAAACAATTTAAAATTACACTTTGTGCCCATGGTATATAAATTAAGTTTTATACCATTTTAATTGAATTGAATCAATTAAAGCAAAATCACTCTCTCATTTTCTCTCTCACTCTCTCGGCTCTCTCTTCCTTGACTTGTGTGAATCACATTTTGAGATACTTCAAGTTCACTTGAAGAACTAAGATTCCAAGAAAGAAGATTCAAGTGTTGAATAGCAAAGGAGTAGGTAATATTTCATCCTTACCTTGAAATTTTTTTGGGCTTATGTGTTACGTTTGTGTTCTACCTTGCATCCATCATCTTGTTCATCCATGTTACACCATTTCTATATCCAAAATGCATGAATCCTAACAAAAATTATATTGAAAACTGTAGGAAAATATGCAAGAAAATGACATACGCCTACAGTTTTAGAGTATTGGGTGAAAAGTTTTAGTGAGACACAGTTTTATTATAGTTTACCAAATAGAATAAGATAGGTGTGTTAAAATATGTCTTTAACGTATTAAATATGCATTTAATGATCACATCTACATTATAGTTGTTGCCTTGTTGGGCTATGGGTTGAATTCGCTAAAACTATGTTATTTGTTTTAATTGTTTACATGTATTGGTTTGTTCATTTATCTTATTCAAGAAAAAGTTAACTAAGTTGCTAA